CAACGCTCAAACCAACGCCCTGCATGCTAATCAATGAGCCATGAGCACCACCCTCGCCGTTGCAGCGGCCCTGCAGCTGATCACTCTTGGCTTGCTTCTCCCACTGCCACCCGCCGGAGCGGCTCGCGGCGATATCCTCACCCGGGACGGCGCCATCGCTGTTGAGGACCACGCCACGGACTTCTTGGTCTCCCCGGACGGCACGTTTGCCTGTGGCTTCTACAACGTGTCCTCCACCGTCTCCGTGTGGTTCGCGCGCGCTGCCGACCGTACCGTGATCTGGACCGCCGCGCCCGGGCGCCCCGTGCACAGCAGGGGCGCGCGCCTCGCGCTCGACCGCCGCGGCGGCGCGCTCGTTGTCACGGACTACGACGGCGCGGTGGTGTGGAACTCTACCGCCGCCGGCGCGCAGACCCAGGCGTCGCGCGCCCGGCTCCACGACACGGGGAACCTCGTGCTCGAGGACGCGGATGGCAACGCGCTGTGGCAGAGCTTCGACAGCCCCACGGACACGCTCCTCTCTGCGCAGCGGTTCACGGCGGCCAGGCACCTGGTGTCGCGCGGCGGCAGGGGCAGGCTGCTCGCCGCCGGCTACTACAGCCTGGGCTTCAGCGACTACGCCATGCTGTCCCTCTTCTACGACAACCACAACGTCTCCAGCATCTACTGGCCCAACCCCTACAACAACTACGTGGCCAACAAGCGCAAGATCTACAACTTCACCCGCGACGCCGCGCTGGACGCGCTCGGCCGGTTCCTCTCCAGCGACGACGCCAGCTTCGTGGCCGCCGACCTTGGTGCCGGCGTCAGGAGGCGGCTCACGCTGGACGCCGACGGGAACCTCCGGCTGTACAGCCTCGACGTGGCGACGGGGGCGTGGGCGGTGTCGTGGGCGGCGTTCGGCAACCCCTGCACCATCCACGGCGTCTGCGGCGCCAACGCGGTGTGCCTCTACGCGCCGGCCCCGGCGTGCGTCTGCGCGCCGGGACACGAGCGCGCCGACCCCGGCGACTGGACCAGGGGCTGCCGCCCGGTGTTCCGGCGCGACTGCTCGCGGCCCACGAAGCTGGTGGCGCTGCCGCACACCGACTTCTGGGGATACGACCTCAACGACGGCGAGATCATTCCGTTCCACGCGTGCGCTCGGAGGTGCCGGGGCACCTGCGCCTGCGTGGCGTTCCAGCACAAGCAGAACATGGAGTGCTACCTCAAGAGCGTCCTCTTCAACGGCAGGACGTTCCCTGGCTTGCCGGGGACCGTGTACCTCAAGGTTCCAGCTGACTTCCACGTGCCGGAGTTCCACGTGCATCAATGGCAGGCGCACGACGGAGGCCTCGCCATCCAAGAAGACATTGCCATATGCGACGACGATGGTGCCAGTGCCGCCGGCACAGAGGTCTTCCTCAACGTCTCCACCTATAGCAGCAGCAGCGATGCGGGAAAGCCTGTGTGGCCATACCTGTACGGGTTCCTGTCGGCGTTGCTCTTCGTCGAGGCGGTCATCATCGGGCTCGGCTGCTGGCTCTTCTCTACAAGGGGCCTCTTCGGGCCATCGAGGGTGTGGGCGATTGAGGAAGGATACAAGCTCATCACCAGCAACTTCCAGAGGTACACCTACTCAGAGATCAAGAGAGCCACCGGCGACTTCACCGCCGTGATCGGCAGCGGCGGCTCCGGCGTCGTCTACAAGGGGATCCTGGAGGACGACAGGGTGGTGGCCGTCAAGGTGCTCAAGAACGTGAGCCAGAGTGAGCAGGAGTTCCAGTCTGAGCTGAGCGTGATAGGGAGGATCTATCACATGAACCTGGTCAGAATGTGGGGGTGCTGCTCTCAAGGGAAACACAGGATTTTGGTCTCCGAATACATTGAGAATGGGTCACTTGCCGAGATGCTATTTCACAGGGAGAGGGAGGCATCAGGATCAGATGCTGTTCTTGGTTGGGACCAACGCTTTCGGATCGCCTTAGGTGTTGCTAAAGGATTGGCCTACCTACATAGCGAGTGCTTGGAGTGGATCATCCACTGTGACATGAAGCCTGAGAACATACTTCTGGACAAGGAACTGGAGCCCAAGATAACTGATTTCGGTCTGGTGAAGCTGCTAAACCGAGATGGTTCTGACGCGGATCTGTCTCGGATTAGGGGAACCAGAGGGTACATGGCCCCGGAGTGGGTGTCTAGCCTACCCATCACAGAAAAGGTTGACGTGTATAGCTACGGAGTGGTGCTGCTTGAGCTAGTGAAGGGGGTTAGGATCTCAGAGTGGGTGATCCATGGGGTTAAGGTAGCTGACATGGATACTAGGATAGCTGTTAAAGCAATCCAGGAGAAGATGGAGATTGATGGTCACGAAAGGTGCGTGAAGGATCTTATCGACCATCGACTGAATGGTGAATTCAATCAAGTGCGAGCGATGGCGATGATTAAGGTCGCCGTTTCATGCCTGGAGGAAGACACGGGCAAGCGGCCCAGCATGAGCTCTGTTTTGCAGGCACTCATGTCAGTTGAAGATGAGACAGCAAAGTGATCGATCTGTTCCAATTGATTTGCGTCTGGTGTCCTGTGGATTTATGGTTGAACACAAATTTTTGTCGTCACCATCCTCTGACGTCAGTTAGATTATGTATTTAATGTACTGTAATTACTTTTTTTATTAGGTGGCTAGTGTTAGATTGTGCTGAACAACAAGGTTTGAAATGATACTTGCCAAAATATTCTTGCTCTCCTCCTTTTCTTTTTTTTAAGTACTCCCTCCATCTTATAAAAAGTGTCATTCTCACTTTTTAAAAAGTCAAATATTATCAGCTTTGACCAAATATATATAAGAAAAAATATTAATATGTATGATGCATAATTAGTATTATTAGATGAATTGCTGAATATATTTTTATAATAAACTTATTTAAAGATATAAATATTGTTAATATTTTCTATAAACCTAGTCAAACTTAAGAACGTTTGACTAACACGATTTCCATAATAATGGCATTATTTCTGGGACTAAGGGAGTGGGAACGGCAACGTTAATGCAATGAGTAAATACTGTGATCTGTTAGCATGCAACTGAAAGAGTGATTTGTTTAGATGGCTATGCATTGCTTATTTTGCAGATAGCACTCTATGGAGAGCGGTAACCAAAATGCACAGGACCGTATCGGTTCACGGTGTCATCGATCGCGGCTCTATCCAACCAAACGCCGGCCAAGGAAATATGCGGGCAAAAATACGTGTGAACTGATTACCGCCATCAGATAGCGCTGTGAACTGATTACGGGCAAAAAGATCCGAACCAAACAGCACCTAAAATGCCTCTGGTGGGCTCCCTTGCCGTAGCCACGCATGATGAGGGAAAACACGAGAATGAACGGGAGCATCGATTCTTGGTACCGCAGCCGCAGCCCGCAGGCCACGGCTCCAAATACACCCGATCTCTATTGCTCCCCATGCGCATTCTTCTTTGATACCAGTGAGATTAGGGGGTCCAAGTCCAAGGTTAGGGGTTTATGTTTGAGTAGCGTAGGAGGATAAGAGCTAGTAAGGCCATTTTGGAGGTAGTGTGGTCAGTGGAGGTTTATGTTTCAGCAGTAAGAAGGCGCTGATCATTATTCATAGCAAGTGGAGGATGCCGGTTAGGCCATTACTTCGGCGAGGGCTTCGTGGTGGCGGCAGCCGACGGAAGTGCTGTAGAAAGGTGGCACAAGGGCGATGGCGTTGTGAAGGAAAAAATGGACTGCCACAAACAATCAATCATCATATAGATAGATGGATCCTTTTCTTTTTCATTTTGGCAATCAAACACAAAGTGGTTTCCAATTGAACACACATCAGTTATGGCTAAAGGGAAAATGATTGATCTCGTGACTCATGAGTTAAATACTTTAAAAACATTACCACTTGCCTACATTAGAAATTAGTATATATCGTTAATTGGCTTGCTCAAAAGTTGTAAGAGGGTACAGGAACCCCAAGGCTCCTCGATCGTAGCGATCATATAACAGATATACAAAGATCATTAGGTTAATATATGCTATCTCTATAGTTTTCACCAAAGTAGAGTCATCGCTATAGACCAAACAGATGGAAGAGTTGACTTGAAGTGGTAACCAAGTTTTGTAGTCATAGTCATAGGGTTGAGCAATTGCATGCACGTGGCATGAACATGGAGGGCATTGTTGTTCGCATCAGCTCAAACTATATACTTTCGGAGTCTTATCAGACTTGTGTGATACTAAAAAAAAGAGCACTGCCAACCACCATGTTTTGTGGCTCGAGATGCTTATACAATAATGAGATTGCTAGTCAAAGAACTCTGCCAATGGCTCATAGAAGTGCAGTAGTAGTAGTTTATTGTTGTAATTCCCTCTAGTGAAATTCCTTCTTATCATGGTCATGTGGGAGAAAAAAGAAGTTTTGGATGATGAACGAGCGTCATGCTATGGGACAATCTCTAGTCAAATAATTCCATGTGAGATTAAACATTCATTCCTCATATTTATTGTGGTCCTTTGGGTTTATTTGATTTAATTTAATATAAATAATGGACCGAGTACAATTAAATTCAATAGTTCTTTCTGCCAAGAAACTTATTTATATTATATTTAAATACAAAATGGCTACGATCGCTTCCTTCTTCCACACATGCATGTTGCTCTTGTGTTCTCTGTCAAGGACAGAGTATATATTGCCACTTGACTCTGACAAGCTGTATGACTGAACTCCAAACTTTGAATTTTCATCATTAATGCTCAAACCAACATTTGAATTGAAACAATTAAAGATGGATCGGATACCTTGTATCGGACATAAAATGTGCTCAAGTTAGAACTTTAATATAAGGAGATGTAAAGATATATCACACAAATCATTATGGCTATTTTTCCTTGACACATATAAGCTTTGCTTGTACATAATCCTGTTGTACGCCACTCAAAAACGCATTTTCTGGCACATGTGTGTTTTGCTAATCCACCATTATTCCATTGCTTGGGTTCGAGCAGCTATCACTTATAGTGTTTGGGTACTGCTAGGAATGGCTTAAAGGTCAGCACGAGCCCAATACATTGGAGCACATTCAGAATGAAGAACAACATGTGATCCCCTGCATGATTAATGATTTAAATCTTCTCTTAGCATTCGGAAACACAAACATAAAACATAGTTGATGCTATACCCAAGATAAAAACATTTAAAGAAAAAAACAGGTACTGGGGTGGTACCTAAAAGAAAATAAGTAACTTTAAGAAATACCTGGAAAGAAGAAAGCATCTTGGCGTTTTTGGGTCCATGAGAATCTACATTAAAAAATTCATCAATCAGATCTTATTATCAGTTTTAATGCATGGTGCACTGGAATCTGGACCTAACATCGACTTGTGGTATTAGACATATAATCGTCACTATAAATAAGAACTAAGATTCCTACAGTAGTAATTAGTATTAACATAATAGACGTAAGGGGGTCGACCAAGTATCCAAATTCTAAGGAAAAATCATTATTGATGGTCCAAGACCATAGATATTGATAGATAGAACTTCCATTTATTTGTTGAATAGACACAAGGTACTAACACACTTAAATATGACATGTATCGATCAATTTGATCTGCCTCTTGAAGATACTGTACGCACTATATTGTTTGACATACGATATTCAACAATTTATATGTTGGTGGAACACACATTAATCTGTATTGAAAATAAATCTGGATGTACGATGTGGGGACAATACTCACAAAGCGCCTGCTCCTGCTGGACCAATGGCCTTAAAGAAGGACATTGCAGTCGCCGCTATGCCATTTGCGGCGCCTCTTTGATGTTGTGGCTGTTTTCGGAGGTCAATGAATTAGCTAAAATTTGTAGCATTTGAAACATAAAACTCAGGTAAACCAATATATGTGATACTTACCACAGCATAGTTCTGAAGAAGTGAAGTGCCTGTCAGGATAGTTATCTGGTCACATTTGTCAAAGGTGTAATGTTAACAAAAGATGATGATGTAACTAAAGATTAAAATACAATATAGTTTCTAGTTTCTTTCCCATGATGATCATAGAAACATGAGTTCGAAGAAATTCTTCAACGACCAACTGATGATTTGAAGAACACATGTAAGTCTTTATTTATTTGTGCTCAGTATAAGTTATAAACAGATAATGTTAGCAGAATACAGAGAATAGGTGTCAGAACTTACCCCAAGAGCAGCTTTCAAAATAGTAGCAAAATAAAGAGCTAATCCAAGTTCTAATCCTGACAGGTGCTTCATGAAGGGAAAAACAGCGATAAGTGGTATGGATAGGGCCTACAATTTACATATGGAAGAAAGACAATAGTTAGTGGATAGGAGTACGTGATGCACGTTTCTATTTTTCAAGTTATTAGGCACCTACAGATGCAGCACGACATGAATTTACACTTCCGAGATATTTGTGGACTGGTCTATAGATGAATATTTGATACACAATAAGTCCAGCACCTAGAACAAATAGAATGTGAAATTAATATCCGAGAGGTTTAGCAAAATAATACTCCCCCTTTTCAAATTGTAAGTCATTTTGACTTTTATAGATACATAATAAAAGTTATATATGTATCTACCAGACATAACGCATACCTAGATACATAGAAAAACTATGTACCTGGAAAAGCTAGAATAACTTACAACTTGGAATGGAGGGAGTAGTAAACAACATCTCATAGCAGTTATTGTAGTAAAGAATTATTTACATCTTGGAAAGAACATACCTGAAATTGCAAGAACTTGACCAATTTCCTTAGAAGAAAAGCTTAGCCCACCATACTTTCTGTCACTTACGGTCCACAAGGAAAGTATCTGTTTTGAAGTTGTAACAAAGATGCAAAGGGGATTCTCATTTTTATTGGATTGATTCATATGCTAGATTCAGGGTAAGTCAACATATATATTAAAATAATTACCTCAGTGTATGAAGTGTCATGAAGCGTGAAAACACAGTACGCAATGATTGAAGACATCAATGGCCAGTTCTTATATAGACTCTTTTCTGGATGTATATCTTCTGTTTGCGGAGTCCTTGAATCTCCGGACATTTCTACTTCATTGTCTATAATCTTGTGCTTATGAAGTGTCTCCTATTAACAAATATCGAATAATATGGTTTATTCTCAATCATAACTTAATAATTTATTAATCCCACAAAAAAATTAACACAACACTAGTACAGAAATGGTTTTCACTGATGCCACATATTTTTTCACTGACAATACACAAAAGTAGATGTTGGTATATTGCATACAGCCAAGAACCGCTAGTAGAAATTCAATTCGAGCAGCGATATATATAACCAAACCGTCGGTACAAATGCTCCTATTTTTACTGAAGGTTGACTTAAGCTATCGCCAATAAAAATAGATATTTTCACTGATAGTAGCTTATGTCAACCATAAGTACAAATGGCCTATTTCTAGAGGTGGTTGTCTTAAGGTTACCACCACTAGAAATCAATTTATAGTCATGGCTGCTTAAGACAACCGCCACTAGAAATCTAATTCAAAATCACACTATATAAAATTCATAACTTTTTCATATTAAATCAGAGGAAGACAAATGTTATATAAAAGTTGTAGAGCTCGACAAAATCTACAACTGCATAGTTGAAAACTTTTTTATTTGAAATTGTTTAGGTTCACAAATATTCATTAAAAGTTCTTAGATCTATTTATAAACACCAATTCAAAATGACACACATATAAAATCGATAACTTTATCATATTAAGTCAGATGAAGACAAATGTTACATCACAATTGTAGAGCTCAATGAGATCTACAATTTGTAGTTGAAAATTATTTCATTTGAAAACATTTATGTTCCCAAGTATTCGTCAGAAGTTCTTAGATTGATTTTTAAAACACTGATTCAAAATGACACAATTGTAAAATTGATAACTTTTTTATATTAAGTTTGATGAAGACAAATTTTATACCAAAATTGTATACCTCAAAGAGATCTACAACTTTGTAGTGCAAATGTTTTCATTTGAAGTTATTTAGGTGCCCGATATTCATCAAAACTTTTCAGCTCCATTTTAAAAACATAATTTTCGTAAACGATTTTCAGAAGCACGGTTGTTTAAGTCAACCGCCTATGAAAATGATTTCTACAGGCGGTATGCTTAAGAAAACCGCCATTACAAATAGCCTCCACTAGCACCTGTGTAGGATGGTAAGGAAGGAACCAGTGAGGGCTGAGGAAGCATTAGTCAAATTAAGCACATTATAGTCATGTCAGAATTATTTCCACGATCAACAAGAAACAAATATTATATTATTTTTATCAGGTTATGTTTTCTCAGTTTTGTGGCTCCTTGTCAGCATGTACAAAAACTGAGGAGATGCCAGTAACTGTTTCATTTGAGGAAAAAGTATAATTTTGTTCCTTCATCTGTCAATAGGCTCCTTATGAGCCTCCAACTTTAAATAAAAATGCTTATTCTGTTTGCTTACTCTGAAATTTGGCTCCAAGGGTAAGCCTCCTAACTTCCAATTATATTGGCAACAGTTAGCTAGCATATTCCTGCGTAGTTGTCTCATATATGGGCTTTGATTAATAGCATTAGTTAGATACTAATCTGAAAGTCACTAATGGCTGATAAAAGACCCTTAAAAAAGTTGGATGCAAAAATGCATATGAAATGACTTATTATTCAAAGAAGATGGGAGCATGTATCACATACCGGTAACCATATGCAGCTTACTAGAACGACAGCAGAAAAAATGGAAATACTTAGGCATGGCAGGAGATACGGGAACCTTGAAAAATGCAGATATAGTCAGATCCATGAATTAGCTAGAATTTGTAAAAATCTTAATCTCATTTGTTACACAACTGGTGTACCTCCCAAAAATTGATTTCTCAGAGAATATGTTTGGATATTGCCGTGCAGGCTGACATACAAAGGAGAACAAAAGGTAAAAAATTGGTTACATTATAATAATAAATGGAAAATTCAAAATAAATATTACTCCCTATAGTCATAAAAACAAGTAATGTTTAAGGGTAGCCCTTAGTCAATTAATCATTAAAACTTTTCATATGTTGAGTGGATTTTGAAAGTTGTACGGGTAGATTTATCTTAAAAGATAATTTCATAATAGTATATGTTTGATATATTTTATTGGTATATATTGTAGTAATAAAAGTAGAGACCAAAGATGAACCGATGACTTCAGACAACCAAAAAAATTACTTATTTGTATATATACTACCTGTGCCAAGTAGCCTCCAATGGATGGGCCAACAATAAGACCTAAGCCCCAAGCAGTGCTTACCTGTATTCAGTTATTAGACTCAACTCGAGCAATGATAAAGGGAACTGCTGCTTCCTATGCACACAAATATATTGAAAGTACGGATTATATTTACTTACAATTGATAACCCAAGTGCATGGTGTTCTGATCGACAAATCTCGATTGAGTAAGCCTGCAAAAAATGAGAGTCATAACAGTAAACATATTTATAGAATTTGAAACTAACTGCCATGGCATAAATGATGCCATTTTTGCATCCTAGGGTACCTTTATTGGTGCAAGCATGCCATTGAGAGCACCTAGAAGCAATCTTGTGGTAATTGCCATCCAATATTTTACACTTAATCCAAATAGAGTGTTGAATATGACCCTGGAAAACGTTAAGACAGAAGAAAAACCATTTTTGCATTACAGAGTTCATATTAAGAAGGCTGCAGCTATATCCAAGAAAATTGTACTCACACTGAAGCGACTGAAAATATAATGATTGGCTTTCTTCCGATACGATCAGCCACTACACCCTAGAAGAGCTCGGCCTATCATCCAGGGAAGGCTAATGTAGTCGCTGATGCCCTAAGCCGCAAGACCTATTGCCACACTCTATGAGCTGGCACCCTACCACCAGGGCCGAGTCAGGAGATGGAGAGACTCCAACTTGAGGTGACGCCGAGAGGTTTGTTGAATGAGCTTCGAGTGTAGTACAACCTCAAAGACCGAATCCGCAAAGCTCAACAAGAATGCCAGAGATCTGGGAAATAAGAGAGCTCATGTAGCAAGGCAAGTGCCCCGAGTTCAGGAAGGATGAACAAGGAGCGTATTGGTACAAGGATAGAATCTGCATACCTACAGGTGCAGCCTTGCGTGAGGAGATCCTAGCAGAGGGACATGACTCCAAGTATTGCATCCACCCGGGAAGCACCAAGATGTATGCAGACTTGAAGAAGCTTTTCTGGTGGAAGAATATGAAGGCCGATATTGCGGGGCATGTCACGCGATGCGACATCTGTAATAGGATCAAGGCTGAGCATCAAAGACCGGTAGGACTGCTAAAACCTCTGGATGTTCCAATGTGGAAGTTGGAAAGCATATCCATGGACTTCATAGTGGGGCTACCTCGGACCCCAAAAGGCCATGACTCAATTTGGGTAATCGTAGATTGACCAAGGTGGCCCATTTCATAGCAGTGAGGAATGACTATAGGGTTGAGAAGCTGGTAGATCTATATGTAGATAACATTCTCAGGCTTCATGGGGCCCCTGTCAGCATAGTGTCCGATCGAGGGACGCAATATGTGTCCAAATTCTAGAAGAGTCTTCACAAGGCAATTGGGACTCGACTGGATTACAACATAGCTTACCGCCCCCAGACAGATGGACAGACAAAAAGAGTAAATCAGATCTTAGAAGACATGCTCTACGCTTGTGTTCTAAAGTATGGATCAGATTGGAAGAAGAGTTTGCCTCATGCAGAGTTCTCCTACAACAACAGCTACCAGGCCAGCCTCAAGATGTCACCATTTGAAGCCTTGTATGGGAGACAGTGTAGGACCCCTCTGATGTGGTCAAAAGTGGGAGAAATATCATTCTTCGGCCCCGCAAAGATCAAGGATGCCGAGGAAGGAGTCACCCAAGTGCGAGAGAACCTGAAGATTGCACAAAGCAGGAAGAAGAGTTATGCAGATAACCGGTGAAGGGACCTTGAGTTCGAAGTTGGGGACTATGTATACCTTAGAGTCTCCCCACTCTGAGGCACCATCAGGTTCCATGTGAAAGGGAAGCTAGCACCAAGTTTTGTGGGACCTTACCGGATCTGTCAGTGAATCGGCAGGCTAGCCTACAAGTTGGAGTTGCTCAAAGAATTGGCAGAAGTGCACCCAGTGTTCCACGTATCACAGCTACGCAAGTGCTTGAAACTACCAGACGAATAGGTACCCACCAAGGCACTGGATATTCAGGATACCCTAGAATAGAAGGAACGCCCTATCCGAGTTCTCGATAGGGCCAACAAGGAGACTAGAAGCACAACTATACCCATGTGCAAGGTCTAGTGGAGCAACCATACCAAACGAGAAGCTACCTGGGAGAAAGTGTCAGAGCTTCGGATGCTTTACCCCTACCTCTTCGAAAGGTACGTCACACCTTAAGTCTCAGGACGAGATTTCTGTGAGGGGGGGAAGGTTGTCACCTCCCTAGAAATCCAATAACCCAAAAATCCCAACTTTTAAAAACTTTTCTAGGAAACCCATGTTTGGTGAGTGATCATGCTAGGAAGCCACCCTAGTTGCACCATAGAACCTATATCTAGAGGGATGAGCATTTGCATATAACAAACTTGTGAGTTGCTTCTTCATGATTTCATGTGATGATAATTAAAACTTGAACCAACTCATAATAAAAATGCTTGTGTGTGTGGGCCCAGGCCCAGGGTAGACCAAAAGCCCCTCCTAAGTGACCTAGGTGGACCCCACTAGGGTTGTGTACATGTATGGAATACATGTATACTTGTATAGGAGTTAAAGTATGGAAATGGGAAATAGAAAAGAGGAGGAAATAGAAGGAGAAAAAGGAAAAGAGAAAGCAACCCTCGCAACCCGCCCTGCTCGGCCTACCAGCGTGCCCTGCGCAGCCAGCCTCCCGACCTAGCTCCCCGCACGGCCCAGCAACACCAGCCAACCCACGTCCTCGCTCTCAGACGTGCGCTCGCTCGCTCTCTCTCGCCCGTCGCCGACACGTGGACCTAAGGGCCCCACATGTCATCCCCCTCCTTCCCTCTCCTCTTCTGCTTTTCCCCGCTGAGGCAGAAAGAGTCCGCCAGTGAGGATTCGAGGCTAGGCCTCGCAATCCCTGCCATCCATGCCCTTGGCCATCATGCGCCACATCCACGCTAGCGCCACACCACCCGCTAACGTCGCCATCGTGGGCCGCACTGCTAACGCCACCCCGTCCTTCCCTTGACCGTCGACGTCCAAAATTGGAGGCACCAAAGCTCCCACGCTTGCCCCGCACACCCCAAAACCCAAGCCAAGTGCTCCAATCACCCTACACGTGCCCCTCCTACTCCCTCTGTCGTCCGCCACCATCGCCATAGCAGCGCCCGGCTATATAAACCACGCCCTGGAGCCCTAGCCTCTCCACACCACCCCGCTACCACTCGGTGGCCTCGCCCGTTCCACGCCACGCGAGAGGAGGCAAGAGCATGAAGGAGAAAGAAGGGAAGGAGGAGAGCCGAGCCCGTCGGAGTTGCCCATGGTCACCGGAGATGAGGATGACACCCCGATCATCTTCCTTGCCGTTGTGGTTTGGCATGGCATAGCTCCAACTCGTCACTGCTTCGACCTGCCACCATACCGCCATGCTAGCCTCACCACCACCACCGGTGAGCACATTGATGCCCCCTTGTCCACCGCCGTCGTGCACGTGCCATGGCTGCCTTCGCATCCTCTCGCACAAGAGAGGGCCAAGGCCAAGCCTTTGGCCACTGCGCTACGTCACATGCACTCACACACGAGCACGAGTCAAGGCATAGCCATGCTGAGCCTTTGGTGCGCGAAAGCGCTAGCGCCACCGTACCGCACCCGCACCTGCTCGCCATGGGTAGAACCAACCTTGGCGCAGCCCTATTCCATCAAGCCTGAGCCGGTGGAGGTTCCAAGACCCCCGCAGCGAGGTTCGCCACGTCGTGGGACGTGCAAAGCCCCCACCTTTTAGTCATAGCGGCCTTGGAGCCGCCGTTGATGTTCACCTCGCCGGCATGGCCGTACGCTGAGCGCCGCCGTGCCATGGGTGTTCCTGTCGATCCCAGCCACCTCGCATAGCAGGGAGGGGCGGTGATGATCGTTGTCACTCTGTCAGCTTAGCCGCCAAGCTGAATGGCCCGAAGGACAGCCCTAGCCCCTAGCCACCATCACCGTGACCTCGCCGGAGCTCCGCCGCACGTGCTGCCGTCGAGCGAACTCCGTAGCGACAATTGGTCACCGGCGCTGCCTTCCTTAGTACCCCGGCTACCTCAATTCAGTGAAAGCCACCCCTTTTGAGACCCTAGGTGGCTGTTTCACCGGACCACCACGGCCTTCACCTCCGTTGCCGTCTCGGGCGATGTCAAGGAGCCACAAGCCGCTGCCCTTGCTCCAATCGACCTCACCGAAGACCCCAAGCCACCCGAAGGAATCGCCATGACCTAACTGAGCATGCTTCGTGAGCTCGCCGCGCCGCCGCCACACCACCGGGCGACCTCGTCGCCGACATATGCGAGCAGGGGAGGCCGAGCGCTCCATGGCGCCTCTCCCTGCACCCGGTGCACCGTGTGCCAAGAGAAAGAGACAGGAGGTGGATGCGGTCCCCCATGGACCCAGCATGTGGTCCATGGACCCGCACCCGGTGGACCACCGTGAACCACGCCCGTAGGCCTGAGCCCGGTATGAGCCCAAGGCACCACGTGGCAACGCCTGTGCTTGATACGTGTCGGGCCGACCCAGCCCAAACCGGCCTAAAGTTTGGCCCGCTAGGCCTGGTCAACATTGATCGTTGACTGACACCAGATCCCACCTGTCAGTCTTAGCCGCGCAGCCAGCCAACCAGAGCACGCGACGTGTCAAAATATGGTTATTTCAGCCCTTTTTCTTTTTCAGAAAAAGATTTAAACTTAGAAAATTTATACGACTTCAGAAAAATATGAAACCAGTGTCCATTTTTTTTCTAAAACTAAGCTCTACGTCCTAGGCTTATGTTAGAATGCATTTGGATCTTTTGTTTTTCCATTGCTTCTTGTGATTATCTATAGGAGTCGCTTATTGCGGCTATATGTCTTGTTTGACAGACCTGGTGGAGCCGCAGACTAAGGAGGACGACCCCGACTACACATAGGAGCTTGGAGATGACCTGACCGCAGGTGCCACATCCCACCCAACCTCGTAGAATCCTATTAGACATGCATTACTATAGCTGCTAGCGCTTTATTTTATGCAATTAAACTGTGATAGGTTGCATGGTAGTTGTTGCTTGAATCCATTACCTTGACATAACCTTTACCCCTGCACACCCGCTGTTAGGCTAGTCGCTCGCTTACTACTTACTGCCTACTTCTACTACGCATTATATCTGTGATGTGATGCTTGGTGGAGGATTGTTTATGAGTAGCTATGGCACCTGGTGCCGATAATATGGTAATAACTTGGGGAGAGATCTTGGCGTGTGTTTTGGGTGTGTGGTGAGGGTTGAGTCGACCAGACATGAT